CGATTGGTTCTGAATGATGCAAGATAAGCGGCATTGTCGTCAATGGTCTTAGATAGAACAGACGACTCCAGATCGTCAGACTGTAAAGAAGTGTTAGCCTATTGTAGCGAGCTAGATTTTGTTAAAAAGACCATTTTATATTATTACCGAAGTCTACTACATTTATTTCATTTTATCTTAACTTGATTTTGTCTGTATTATAATAGAAGTTAAATTTAGTATTGTTCACAAACAAGTGATTTCAAGTTTTATAAGCGCTTTAGCTGTCTACCAGAAGTTTAGTACTACAGGTCAACGACCGTCCACAACACCAAGCAAATGCTAATTTGTTACCGGGTGTCTGCCCTATAACGGTTCCATGGGGAACACTGTGTGGATTCTGTTGGGGCTCCCATGCCCGCCATTACGATGGGGTCAGTCTTCAGGCACCCCAACGGCGGTTCTATTTTTCAACCCTATTGGTTGAACCGTCTCCTCTAATGACCGTTTCCACCCGGGCGCCACGTTAAGGCTGAGAGGCTTTGCCAGGGACACTAGTACTTGTTAAGGGCTGCTACATACATAGGAATGCATTTTTGTTCATGTTCATAAAGGATGACTCCATTTGTTTCCTGAGGGGAGGGAGGGTTGTTAACTGTCGTTGACAACTGCTAAACAACTAATCCGCTGTAGGCGTAGATATGAGTTTTAAGTTATAAAATTGAAATAACTCTAATAACTTCTTCTTTTTTTTTTGTAAACAAAACTAAATAAAGCTTTTATAATAACATAGACAAATTCGACTTGAAATTTAAAAAAATGATATTTAAGCAAATCTAGCTCACTATCAAGGGCGCGTCCTCTCACTCTGGCATCCTGGAGTCGTCTCTCTCGATCCATGGATTATGATAGAGCCACTTATCTTTGCATCATTCTACAAAACTAGGAATAAATGCTCCGTCTTTTCATATCACCTCGTAAGCACACACACACACATATGCTCCATAACAGGATGCATCATTATATTTTTCTACATCATCAGCCTCTCTGCGATGCCTGGCGGTCTAATTTTTTATATGTAGTTATGTGGTAACCTAACACTAGTTCTTATTAAGGTATAGTTTCTATGAATCAAAAATACATATGTAGGTTGTGAAAAAAGCTGGGGAGTGGTGGGGGAAAAGAGATGAAGTGAGATAGAAGAGATACAAAGACAACAATAATTATATTTCTAACATTAACTAGATCTAATTGCTTCAGGAAGTAAAGAGACATAACTACTTCTCGTTCATTGCTTTGATTATCTCCCCTGTATCAACACACTATAAAATCATGTCACAAGGTTAAGAGTTAGATCTAGTTCTGTAAGAGGAAAAAACTCTCAACATTTACATCTGGGAGGTGCACCTTTTTCAGAAGTAACGCAGGACTAGAGACAATGAACACAAGAGAGAGAGAGAGAGAGAAATAAAGAAAGAAGAAAGAGAGTGGAAGAGAGAGAGAGAGAGAGAGAGAAACAAATCAAAATTAAAAAGCAAGAAAGTAAAAAAAAAGAAGGAGAAGAAGAAATCCCTTAGTTGACGGCCCTGTATCCTGTAGGCCTACTAAACGTACATGCCAATGACGGCCCTGTATCCTGTAGGCCTACTAAACGTACATGCCAATGACGGCCCTGTATCCTGTAGGCCTACTAAACGTACATGCCAATGACGGCCCTGTATCCTGTAGGCCTACTAAACGTACATGCCAATGACGGCCCTGTATCCTGTAGGCCTACTAAACGTACATGCCAATGACGGCCCTGTATCCTGTAGGCCTACTAAACGTACATGCCAATGACGGCCCTGTATCCTGTAGGCCTACTAAACGTACATGCCAATGACGGCCCTGTATCCTGTAGGCCTACTAAACGTACATGCCAATGACGGCCCTGTATCCTGTAGGCCTACTAAACGTACATGCCAATGACGGCCCTGTATCCTGTAGGCCTACTAAACGTACATGCCAATGACGGCCCTGTATCCTGTAGGCCTACTAAACGTACATGCCAATGACGGCCCTGTATCCTGTAGGCCTACTAAACGTACATGCCAATGACGGCCCTGTATCCTGTAGGCCTACTAAACGTACATGCCAATGACGGCCCTGTATCCTGTAGGCCTACTAAACGTACATGCCAATGACGGCCCTGTATCCTGTAGGCCTACTAAACGTACATGCCAATGACGGCCCTGTATCCTGTAGGCCTACTAAACGTACATGCCAATGACGGCCCTGTATCCTGTAGGCCTACTAAACGTACATGCCAATGACGGCCCTGTATCCTGTAGGCCTACTAAACGTACATGCCAATGACGGCCCTGTATCCTGTAGGCCTACTAAACGTACATGCCAATGACGGCCCTGTATCCTGTAGGCCTACTAAACGTACATGCCAATGACGGCCCTGTATCCTGTAGGCCTACTAAACGTACATGCCAATGACGGCCCTGTATCCTGTAGGCCTACTAAACGTACATGCCAATGACGGCCCTGTATCCTGTAGGCCTACTAAACGTACATGCCAATGACGGCCCTGTATCCTGTAGGCCTACTAAACGTACATGCCAATGACGGCCCTGTATCCTGTAGGCCTACTAAACGTACATGCCAATGACGGCCCTGTATCCTGTAGGCCTACTAAACGTACATGCCAATGACGGCCCTGTATCCTGTAGGCCTACTAAACGTACATGCCAATGACGGCCCTGTATCCTGTAGGCCTACTAAACGTACATGCCAATGACGGCCCTGTATCCTGTAGGCCTACTAAACGTACATGCCAATGACGGCCCTGTATCCTGTAGGCCTACTAAACGTACATGCCAATGACGGCCCTGTATCCTGTAGGCCTACTAAACGTACATGCCAATGACGGCCCTGTATCCTGTAGGCCTACTAAACGTACATGCCAATGACGGCCCTGTATCCTGTAGGCCTACTAAACGTACATGCCAATGACGGCCCTGTATCCTGTAGGCCTACTAAACGTACATGCCAATGACGGCCCTGTATCCTGTAGGCCTACTAAACGTACATGCCAATGACGGCCCTGTATCCTGTAGGCCTACTAAACGTACATGCCAATGACGGCCCTGTATCCTGTAGGCCTACTAAACGTACATGCCAATGACGGCCCTGTATCCTGTAGGCCTACTAAACGTACATGCCAATGACGGATTATAAAGCAAATGCCCAGATAAAACTAATAAAGAGTCGAAAAGAAAATAAAACTGACGGCACATTTTAAAATTTATCTCTAAAAACATATCAGCGAGGCGTTCGGTGAATCCTAGTATCGGTTTATAGTTCACTTATAATTGTTGTTACTTCAGCCGTCTCGTAATACCGCTACCCCCAAAAGACTCCAACGAGTCCAGCTACTTATCAATGGGCTCTTCTATGTTCACTATAAGACCTGTTACGTATTTCAGAATCTTCTGGCTAAATGTACTAGTAGGCACACAAATAAAAACACTGTAAAGAACTTGACGACTAAACTTTCAGCTTCATAAAACTTTATTGACTATTAACTCTAACAATTTGTTACTGTAACATGTAGCGTAGAAGACTGTACAATATCTGTCAGTTTACAGTTAGCTATACTTCGTTGCAATTCATCTCTTCCCAACTTGCATCGAGCCGCATTCCACAGAACAGACCAACGACACACTTCCCAGTGTCGCTCCAGGTCTCCCAAAGCTGAACCAAGTCGTACTCAAGTATACCGAATCAGAGCCGAACACGTCTTACATCGTCTGTATCGACTGTAACGGCTCAAGTCCACTGTAGTTCGCTGTATAGACTTTAACGACAGTAGTCCACTCCAGTTAACTCTACCCTAGTTAACTTGCATCGAGTCGTACACATCTCTCTTCTACTGTCTCGCACAGTAGACAACAGTACCGACGACTCACTCACGACTGACTTTCACATTGACTCTCTGGCTTATATAGAGTCCCTAATCACTCCTCCAAAGTTGCACAAACACTGCTAGTATCTTCTGGAATTACACGTGAGGAAACGTCATATCCTGTCTTTGTTTATACATGTAGATTCCAGAAAACATCGGCTGCAGTGTCATCTTGCCAGGGTCACAAGTTGTGACCTCTATCTGTCACTGGACATTGCTAGTACCTTCTGAAATAACACGTAAGGACACGTCACATCCTGTCTCTGTTTATACATGTACATTCCAGAGAACACTCGCTGCTGTGTTATCTCGTCGGGGTCACACGTTAACCTCTTCCTGTCACTGGTCATTTGTAACAGACTGAAACTTTGGCCCAGGGACGTGTCTATACAGTTGAAATCATATTTTAAAAGGTAGGAAAAAAAATATAACCAATGTACGAATCAATACGCACACATCTCACAGTAAAGAACTTAATTATGTTATGTGATATGTGATTAGAATTATTCAATACCTTTGTTCATGCGTTGAATAAAAAAGTTCAGCAGAGTTATCACTACTTGTAATGTTACTTGTCTGTATTTAATTAAGTACATAATTGTCTTATTACAAAGCTTCTATCAACTCACTCTGTCTGTCTGGTAAAAAGTTTGTACACGTTATTTCTTCCACACCCACTCTCGGATCAAGCTGAATTTTGCTCAATTATTTCATTTACCTGTCAAAGCGAGAACAATTGTAAAAACTAACCAATTAGCTAATTAACTATTAGTTTTTAATTATTTTGTTTGATCAAGAACAGGGAAAGAAATTGTACTTGATAGATGTGGTGGTATTGTATTGGTCCCCTTTATACTTTTTGCGTAAAGAATTATGTCACGGTAACATTCACAAGATACCCCCTTCTATTTCCAACTGGTCCAGACAAAGTGATAGGATCATAGCGCATTGAGAAAGCTAAATGCATAAAATTCAGCTAAACAAAAACAATTGGTAAAAATATTTCTAATCGCACAGATTTATTGTTGTTGGTCTAGATCTCTTAAAATTTATATGACTAATCCAAATTAATTGATACAATTAAACCCAAGATAATCTTTAAAAAAAGTATTTTTTATAATTATTTTATTTGTGCTTAACTAATTTTAATGTATTACAAAAAAAAATATTTCTTTGCGCCCATGGACCCAAGCCGCAGTGATGGCATGGTGTCAGCTGAAGAAGATGGTTGAGATCGAGAATAAGTAATTGGTGAGCACTTGTGAAAAAAAAATGAATTCACTGATAACCAAGATAAAGAAATACACCCCCCAAAAAAAAGGTAAAACATTCTAAGTTATAGACTGCTATTTTTTTTTAAATTTACATTTCTAAAAATTTGAAGGGTTCTCACATAAGTTGAAGTCACCAATTTTATGACAAAATGCATTGTAATTAGAATCATTTTAGAATCGTAATACAATCATTCTTTATTTTATGGTTGTAACACACAATGAATCAAGCACATTATAATGTACTAATAAGTTTTATTTAAAAACTTAAAACAACTAGATAAACAATAAATATTTCTGAGACAAACGTAGACCTAAAAGCTTTATTAAAAAGTTACAAAAAGTCAATATACAGGTATATAGTAATTGGAGATACAGTCACTACATTGTTGGAATTGGGTTATAAATACAATATACACGCACACTTTTAAACTTTGGGATCAATCTATTTTGGAGTTGGGATATTAGTACTTCAGGCACCTAGTGCCTACAATCTTCGGAAGAGATATCTGACAACAGATTAGGAAAGTAAGAACCCATGACAGATATTACCATGTCTTTTGATATCTCTATTTGATAATTTATTAGAAAGGTCTATTTAAACAAAAAAGTTTAAAAAATCTGAATCTAAGAGTTTGATTTATTGACAATGGATTGGAAAATTAAAAATTAAAAAAACTGAATCCAAAATATTACATTCTACAAATGTATATACTTGATAAAGTAAACGTAACAAGTACTGTATATTCAATGTGTATCCAACTCTCTATGGGCTTTTGTAATGTTACTTAAACTTCCTTCTCAGTACTATGAAGAGACAAACGCTAGCATGCTTGGACAAAAGATTATCTCAAGAGGGGTCTTTCAGAAAAGTTCTTGATACTAATACATTTTAGTGGTTATCTTGAGGCCCAAAAGGACCAAGAACATCAAGTTCAGCGCATGTTTAAGCCACTCGCACAAAGCAAGTCAACGGTCTGATTTAAAATACTGAATTGATAGCCTTGCTGATCAAGCCGAGACCAATCGTCTTAGAAGACCTAAACACTAACCTGCAACGTCGCAACTTGTGGGGCGGTGGAGACCAGTACTTCGTTTCCACGTCACAAGTCTGTATGACGCGGCAACGTGCTTTTGGTCTCCACTGCCCACAGGTAGCGACGTCGCAGGTCTTGTAGAGGCCTTCTATAACGATCAAGCCCAGTGATAGTTGTTTGTGAAGTCGAGAGGTTGTGTTTTTAGCATTATCTGGATTAAACAGTAGAGTATCATCACATTAGATAATGCTTTCATACTTTGGATTTTTAATGATATTTCATTTGTAGCGACTATTACGTCACTGTAACGTCATTTATTTATTTGAAATATGAGACGAGAGAGCTACATTGAAACTTTAGGATGTATGCTTCTATAGTTGCCAGGTTTTTGTGTGTGTCTGAAACAAATATGTCTACAAAAGAAACTGCATTTCATAAACAAAAATAATTTTTAAAACTTTTGCAACTCTATCATTAAAACGGTGCCTATTATAAGATATCTCGACATGACCAACACATAATTTTTTCGCCTGAGATCAGGACACAACATAATGAGACATGAGTTCTGGAAGCTAAAAGTCGGGACTTGCCCCAGCGTCACCAGAGAACTCTAACCATGTCCTACGAAGCTGCTTGCTCTATCGAGAAGCATGAACAGTACTCGGGCCTCGAAACCCTCCTATAGAAGAAAAACTATACGGAGAACTACCTGATCAGGAAATCACTGCGCGGCTCATCTCAGATATACGATTAATGATCCGAACCTTTGAACATAATAAAAAGAGAACAAAGAAGAAATTCAGACTTTTAAATTGTATGTTATTAAATATGTGTACAATATAGAAATAGGTCTATAAGGCAACGAAGTCTTTTATAAGGTAACGAAGTCTTTTATAAGGTAATGAAGTCTTTTATAAGGTAACGAAGTCTTTTATAAGGTAACGAAGTCTTATAAGGTAACGAAGTCTTATAAGGTAACGAAGTCTTTTAGAAAAATAAAATTTAACAACTTTGCCGGAAAACTTTTTTTTTTAAATACGGTCTCGAAGTTTCTTTTTCGTTATAGACCCTAATACCTATCACTAAACTGTACACATAATAAATAACATACAACTTATAAGTCTTAATTTCTTCTTTTTTAAAAATACCCCACCCCCAATTCCAACCAATTTAAAAATGTTTTGATTTATTTCAATTTGATACGTTACAAAGAGTTTGAGATCAGAGGTTTTGACGAATCTATCGACTTGACTTTAGCATTTCGAAAATTAACAGCCTGTTGGTGCTTGACCACAACATAGACGGGCACAACACGGAGGGGGCTTTCATCGTTTTTCAGTATCTCGTATCCAAATGTTAAATAACAAAAGTCTTTGGGGACTGGTTGGCTTGGGTCATTCTGGTGGGCGATGAACTCGGAACGGAATTTTTCGTTGAAATCAAAGATTTTGATGCTGACGGCCGGGCGATTTTTTTTACTCCTGGGCAAGACAGTACTTTCCGACACTCCGTCCGAGACAAACACCCTGGTCAGGCACCTTCTCTCTGCGTAAATGTCCCCATCGTGGTAGGTTAAGATAACCTCTCCTCCCTCCGTCTCGAACAGCGCCTTGTTAATCTTGTCCTTGATGTCATCGCCGATGCCATCCAGCTCTTGGAAATTGGGCATTTGTATCTCCGTCCGCTGTTCGATGTCCGCTTTGGCCCTGCTGTCCGGGGAGCCGAAAAACAGGCGACAGCGATTGGTTCTCACGGAGGAGCTGTTGACGACTCTGCCGGGGATGCCGTACAGGACCTGCACATGAAAGTAACACACGCCTTGTACGGCTTTGTCCATGGACTTGAACAACTCGTCGTTAATGGACGGAAGAATATTTTCGTAATTAGTTGGAGCGCTATTGAAACTCAAAAGGTCACTTGAAGGTAAGGAGTTCAAATCCGAAGGTAATTGGTCTGGATCCTCTTTCTTCAAAGAACTGATCTGATTCGCAATGTCCATCTTTGTCTCAGAAGGCTCACAGTTTACCGATAGATTAGATTTAATATATCCATCGTAAACAGCTAACTGCGCTATTCCATTCTGCGTGGCATCCACAGCGAAGGCAACGCTGTCTCTTTCAGAAGTATCCATCAAGTCAAAAGTCCGAGAATCAGGAGCTATCGCAGTGATGGGTATGCCTATGTAGCTCATGGGACTCATCGATTTCACCGCGCCCCCAGAGTAATGGCATGGGATGCTGAAAGTCTTTGACTGCTCTGTCCCTTGTGGAAAGACAAATAAATTCGTACTGTCTGCGACGACCGGAAGTGGAAGCAGTTCATCGTTCACGGTGGATGTCGGCGATGCACGTTCATGTTCTCTTCTCGGCCTCGCGGGCGAGGTGGGTTTGAAGCGGTACACTTTGTAAGGGTTGGCGGAGTCCCGTTGGTGAAGGCTGGGCACCTCCTCGATCTCCCGGTTCTTGTTAATGGCCGTCCTGATGCGGGTCTTCCAAGTGGGGAAGTCCATGGGGTCGCCAGGCTTGTACCTGCCCGTGTGTTTGGCCCACTCGATGTAAATCTGGCAGTTTTCGGCTCGCCATTCCCGTGACTTCTGGTGTGGCCAGGGCAGACGAAACAGCTTCTCTTCTTTGTCCTCCCACTCCAGGCCTGGGCAACGATGCTCCAAGACCATCGTCTCCAGCCAGCGTCTTAGATCTGGTCGTTTGTTCTCGCCCATGTCGAGATGACCTAAGAAGTAAAGAAAAAAAACAAGTTATAATGGACTTTAGTGCTAACTAACCCTTTCCCAAAGTGAACACTTTTTAAATGACACAGTGATAATACTGTCAATAAGCTTTTCTTGACAAGTGGTGGGGAAGAAGACGTGTCTCTGTCTACCTGGCTGGTGTGAGCTCTGTAGACAGTTCTCCTTCCTTCCCCCAACTACCATGTATTGATTTAGGTCTAAAGGTAGCTGAAGTATCTTTTGAATCTCACTCATTTATTTGCAAATATACGTGTTTTCATGAAGGTCAAATATATTATCGGTTATTTCTAAATGCTATTTCATTCATAGATGTAGTTCGTGTGGTAGACTTTAACAAAGTATAATCGTAATGGTGTTAACAATAAATCACTTTATTTTTACCGGTATGTGAAAAATTTTCTTTAAAAGTTTTTTTTTTTTTTCGGAAAATCTATTCTTCCCCGTTCTCAAGTTCATCCATCGTGTTTTACAACTAATGCATATACATAGTTTTTGAATTATACATAGTTCCATACAATTTTAGACCTTCGAAAATGCGAGCAGGAGAAAAAGAAATGAAACAAAAAAATAACAAGGGAAATTAGGACTAATTTTGATAAACTAAAACACTCCTTTCCCGGCTGTAAATATTTTTTTTCCACCTCCGAAATTCAACTATCCGTTTCGTCACTCTCTCAGTTTAAAAACAAAATAGAAGCTGATGTGACTTTCTCTATGTCATATACATGCATGTCTTTACTTTGAAACCTCTCCAGGACATATTTAGTAAGCTAAGTTTAGTTTCTGGTCCTACTTTTTTATGTCTTCCTGGTCGCCGCGTGCCTCTGGGTTCCTACAGTGGCGATGACTTACAAAGTAAAGAGAAGTGACTTTGAATTAATTACATGCTTAATAACTGACAGGCCAAGACATCAGAGAATTGTGAGAATCGATGGAGCAAAGCTTTATGGGAACGAGTCATCCGAAAGCGAGGCAATCATCAGCGACTCCAGATATCTGTCTCTTGTCCATTCACCTAGATGTATTTATTTTGTTTTAGATTTGATATATTAGATGTTGGTTGTAGACTTTTCAGCCTATTATATTAACTTGTTGACGTAGGCTGTAGGCATATTGAATTTTAACTTGAATAACTTCATAGTGAACAATACTAAATATGGGTTTTTATTACAATACAGACAAATTTAACTTGAGATGACATGTAATGAATGTAGTAGATTTTGGTTATAATATAAAGCTGGCATTTTGAACAAAATCTAACTCACTACGTCTTTTCACTCTGGCATTCTGGAGTCGTCTGGCCTACCCAAGACAGCTTACAGCAATGCCGCTTATCTAGCATCTTTTACACTGCATATCAACCAACCAATGTTTAGCTTCTACTCACGTCACCATAGAAACATACACTAACACTCTATAACACTTATAACGATTGGGCATAATTTAAGCAATTTAAAATTTTTCATACATGGAGGCTAATCCATGAAATAACAAGTTTATTAGGTGTATCCGGTGTACAAAATACAGAAGTATTGATAAAGAAATAATTTAATAAATCATAAAATAATAGTTTTTGTGCACGAATCAGCACTATAGAAACAAATATCCGTCGTATGTAGCGAGTATGATTTTAGGATTAATTCACAAAGGTTAGAGACACTACAGGACAGAAAACTAAAAAAGTAAAATAAAATAAATATATAGCATGTTCAGAGCGCTATGGTTCAATCGCATTTGTGGACCGGTGTGTGTGTGTGTGTGTGTGGGGGTATCTGGGAGAAGGTTTTCTGTGTTGCCTTTAGACGCCCAGTAAACACAACTCTGCTCGAGTCGGGTGTCGAACCTCGAGCCCCTTTCAAAGATAGCCAAGCCAATCTCAAGCGTACTTATCCTCTCGACCACTTTTAGCAAAAATAGCACTGAACCATAGCTTATTACAAGAAAACAACAACTCAATAAAATTCTCAGAAAGACACAAAAGATAAAGTCACATTTCTAAATAGGTCGGTATGTTAAGACAAATTCCTATAAGTTCTTCTTCGTTCCTATAGCTATTAGACCATATAACCAGAATCAGCCAGGAAAACAAATAACTTAATATAGTTAAGTCTCTAATTAACATTCATAACTAGATTATTTAACACGTGGATACACTTAGGACGTAATGACGGTAATTATCTGAAATAACGTGTATAATTTATTAAATAAGGTATTTTAGTGGACAAAAGTAACTCATATGGCGTCCTAGACGTTTAGTTTCCTTGGGTTCTATTATAGCGCCGCCACATTGCTTCATATAGCTTTGTTGTTTTTTTTTCTTACCGAATTTTATTACTTGTAGAAAGCAAATCGGATCTTAAAAAAACAAATTGTATTCAATGACAAGATTACTGTGATTGGTTTTGTGTGTGAAAATGAACTTAAAAAAAAAAAAAAAAAAGAAATCAAATATCTGAGACCACACTTTCACCTTATTTGTGTTTCTAGTTGTTTTTTTCTCCTTACAATTTACAAAAAAAAGAAACTACTGAAAGTAACAAGGTTACAAAGACACAAGGGGGGGGGGGGGGGGACAAAAGAATTTTGGTCTGTTTGTCTTTGCTATCGGTGTCTTGTATCTCTAGTGATGGTAAAAATCACAAAATCCTGAGCCGTAGACAAGAAGTTTTTAACCTACAATCTACTAACGACATAATGTTAAAATTGTTAATGATGTGTACTGATGAACGTAGAAAATTTAAAAACAAAATCTTGGCTTGGCTTCCGAACCTCGGGTCCTGGGTTCGAATCTCGGCGAAGACTGAGATTTTGAGTTTGGGTTTTTATCCAGGCGCCCCTGAGTCTATCCAACTCTAATGAGTACATGACTTTGATAGTAAAGTAAAGGCGATTGGTCGTTGTGCTGGCCACATGACACCCTGCTCGTTAATCGTTGGTCCTAGAAATAGATGACTTAAACATCATCTTCTCCATAGACCGCAAGGTCTGGAAGGTAAACTTTGTACTTTTACATAAGTTAAAACTCCTTATATGAGTGGCTCAGATAATGTAAAAAAAAGTTGCTCAGACTGGTGTCAGCAGTGTTGCTCAAACTGGTGTCAGAAGTTTGTGACCTATCTCCGCGCCGCTTCAGCCCACGCTGTACATCAGGAAAAAAAACATTCACGTGTTGGCGTAT